CCTCTATGTTGGAATTCAATTCTGTAATAGTAATGGACTACCAAATGCTCTCCAAACAGTTCGAAATCGAGTGTGAAATATGGAATATGTAACCGGATCTGTTCTTATCAGCCTCGCCTTTTTAGAGCTTGATAGAGCTGTAGCTTCCCCTTCCGAAATGTGTACTTTATCCACCACTTTCTTCAATATGACTAACAACTCAGGTCATTTTGTTTCTGTAGCAGACATTGGGATAAAAAATGTTGGCAAACCAAACTGGCGGATCATGGCTAAAACTTTCTTCTCTTCAGCCTCCCAATGTGAAGGAGAGGTTGGAAGTCCTTTGAGTACATGATAGCCGTCATCATGCTGGATAAGGTTGCTGACAAAATTTTCATCCCTCTCATTTGCAGCAGTTATATTCATTGATCCAGATTTTTTACGCAGGCAAATTGAAATTGCGCTCTAACTCGTAGAACTTATAAATATACAGTCCACACACACAACGCCGATCATAGCGTCGTATCTTAGAAGCAATTTTATTGTAAATTGTTGTGGATGTCCTCTTCTTTCCACAGTAAATCGTAGGATACGACAACTCCTGAGTATCGTCGTCGGTTGTAACGTCCCTTGGGCATCTACCTTGGCCTTGTGTCATTGCAATACGTTCAATGAATATATTTTCAACGGGTTAATTGTCTATTAAAGTCTCCTGATCACCTTGCCAGCCAAGCAGTTGACATTTGTATATTATGTTTGACGTAGAGCTCTGTACCCCAGATAGTTCAGTGCCTCCAATATTTTTGCTGGTTGCACTGTCTCCGTCATGAAATTTGGGTCATATTCCAATCGACGTTTCAAGTGTTGTCAAATCTTCGGGGCAGATGATGTAGGAAGAAGATGTGCATAAAGGGGATCCTCGGTGATCTCACTCTTTCTTCCAGACACAGACAGACAGTTAAGTCCTGAAGGCATTCCGGAATATCAGGAAACTCCAATCTTTCCGAGAGACAGATATTTGCTAGCTTGCCTTTCCAACCCGATAGTATGTGTTACAAAAGTTGTACTTTTGGTTCGAAGACGGAAATTTTGATGACAGGTAAAACACTGTTCTAGCATCTTCTGAGCGCGCAAATTTTGTTGAAAAAATTTATTGAAGTCTGACTGACAACACACGCATATTTCAGTGGGTCCTTTCTTTATAGCCAATGCGTACATATCAAAGATAGATAAAGATCTTCTAGCTGTGCATCAGGAGAAAGCTCACGACGTGTTTTTACTTTCCTTCTGATTTGCCTTTCGCTTTCTAACGATTCGCGTGATCCGATCTATGCAATTGTACTCTTTTCAACGTTGATTCCTGCTCATTTGCAAGTTGCAGCCTGGTTTGCTGGCGGGTTACTCTTCTTTGAAAAGTAAAATTCGTTCATCGTACACAATGTTCCATATTTTCGCACCGGTGTTGCGTTTCTGCTCCGAAATCAAACGTCTGTGGCTGTGAAGTATGTTCTGTCGTCTAGTAGAACGTGCAGAATAGTCACGGTTCTCTCCTCATTGCGGTACTCCAAATTTGAGCTGCGTAATTCTGCAATATAGTCAGCGTTCCTTTGTCGATTTATTTCCAAATTTTGACTGTATTGTCGTCGGCTTCGAGTCATTGCGACGTCTTTGCTCCTGCGATTTCCTAGATATTCTTGGCATTTTTATAAATTAATAAAATATTTATACAAATAAGAAATATACTAAAAATAAACAGTGAAAAAAAAATAATATAATTATAATAATGCTTATTATTTAAAAATAATTATTTTCGTTGTTTGAAAGTTGGTTGCCTTGTTGAAAGTTTAAGCGACTCGCGTAAACTGAAGTGATCTGATTTGTTGCGCACTATTTATTGAATGTTTTAGAGCCCGACTTCACATCTGTAAACTCTTTTGCCCTTTTTTGTATGATTGAGCAATTTTCGAAGGAATATTAAGGCGTTAATTACAAAAGGTGTATTGTAGGGTTTTTTTAACCTAGATTACTTTCTACCTGTTTGAACTATGTTTATTTTCTGCCTACTCTTCTACCTAGGTTTTGTTTTGTACCTACCTAGCAGTTAATTAAGGTTTTAATTATGGATAATTATGTTTACATAGTGGGTTCTCTATTATTCTTAATAAATAAGAATATATCTTGAAAATTAGGGATTTATTTATTTTATGGGTAATTAAATAATTTTTTTTCCATACTCTTATGTATATATTCTTAACATAATTTTCTACTTACCTCCATACAAAAATTGATTTAGATCGGTCAGTTGGTATGGCAAACTATACACTATAGTGTCCGATTTGAACAATTTTTTCGGAAATTGCATTATTACCTTAGACAATAACCCATGCCCATTGTAAACATATCTCGTCAAATGAAAAAATTTTCTACGCAAGCACTTGATTACGTTCGTTCAATTTGTATGGCAGCTATATACTATAGTGTTCCGATCTGAACAATTTCTTCGGATATTGCATTATTACAAACAACTGTTAGTTATTGGCAATAGAAAAAGCTGTGACTATTAATACTGTACTACATATATTCACAATATACCATTATCGACAATATATGGTACAATCATCAACTCGCAAAATACTATTATCGACAATACGAGATGTGTTCAAAGGAAAAAGTGATATATGAAAATTTTTTGAAAAGTTCTTATTTATTCAGCAATATTCATTTTGTCCCCTTCAGAGTAATCCCGCTCGGATATAGTACACTTGTGCCAACGTCGCACCCAAAAAATTAATCCTAAATGGAAATATTTTCGCAACTATACGTTAGTTTAATACGAAAGGAAATGAAATCATTCCAGACATATAGTGTATTCTAGCATGCTCACGTGTGGCCCTTTTGGCAATTTCAGTTTTTACAGTTTATGTTTATAATAAATGTAATGTAAAAAAACGAAAACACATGCTTCTAAAGCCCTTCAAACTGAAAAATAATTTTTAATGTAAGTTGACTGTAATATTGACCAAAAAATACTTTTATTATTGTCAGAAAAGTGTGATATGGTCGATATACGAAAAATATGGCACAAAGCATCCGACGCTTTTCTCACAATAATACAAGAATTTTCGATCAATAGTCAGTTTAGTTTTTAAAATAAATTTTTTTTCACTTTTTAGTTTAATATGCTTTAAAATCATATTTTCGAGTTTTTAAACCATATATATTATTTAGCCACCCATGGTGTTTTCACTTTTTTTGAAGACAAGTTTGAGTATATTTGTTGTTCAAATAACAGTATGAATAGTTAATAGATTTATTTTAAAAATTATAAAGATTTAATTTAAAAAGTATAAAATAAAGAATGAGACTTCTTACAACATATATCTAGTGTCTAATCAGGCCTGTTTTGATCGTCAATATAGAAAAATCAAGATGGTAATTGCAATGATAGTGTCTTAAATTAATATAACGGTCCAAACAAAGTTTTCTTTCTAGTTTTACATAATTTGAGATGTTATCGTTAAGTGGAAACAACAACAATGCTTTTCATCGCATTCTATGAAGCAACGGAACTGTTATAGGTCTTTCAAACATTTCTTATTCAATGTTTAAGAATTTTTTCCAATAAAGTAAGAAGCCCCCATCAGAAATCTTTAATCAAAAATCGCTAAATCCGTTTTCGAGCATTGCAAATTATTTTACAATCCTTATATCTTAAGTAGTTTTGTAATAGTTTGAAATGAGATAATTAATATTTTGTATGATAAATTTTTAAACGAAATTGATTATCTGAAAATAACGAGGCTGAAATTCTGTTGAATGCCAAGGTTTATAGACTACAGGTTACGAAAACTGTCACGTCATAGAATCAAGATCGTCATACTTACAGTGGGGCGAATTTGAGAGAAGAAAAAAATGCATTAGCTGATGTGTACCGTTTTTCTATTTGCGTTTTTTATTCAATTCATTATGTATTTTATCTGTTTAGATGATTAAATTTGAAACTGCAAGAAATTACAAGAATATAAAAACAATGTCGAATTCGTAGTATTATAGTTTATACATTTTTTACGATCAATAAAAATTCATATGCCCAAAATGTAACCTGATAAAACCAAATAACTTACTTCGTTTAATAATCACTAGATATGATTTCGAGAGTTATTAGCAATATCTTTTAGCTACATTGTTGCAATTCCACTCGCTTTCTTTACATTTGGCAAAGTTGTGCGAAATATTTAGATTTGATTTTTTTTTACAAATACTTATTCATATCACTTTCACAAATTTTTTTGTTTTAAATTTGAGAACCATCATCAAATATTCCACCTTTCAATTATTCCATAGAAAGCTTAGGAAATATTCACTAAATTTAAATAAAACACTATTCTTCCACTTCCACCAATTTGAAAAATTCCGCGAAAAAGGTGCGCAGAACCTCAATAATGACTGAAAAATAAATTTTATACTAACAAATGAACAAATTCGTAATCTGGACCCTTGAAAACATCAAAATTTGATGTTCATTTGTCCGAAATGACATCAGGCATTAGATTTGTTATGTACGAGTATATACATTTTCTGTTAGAGATTTAAATTTTATTAGTAATATTTTTCAAGGCCAAAATAAGTTATTAGACATGACCAGTTTATGGCTTTTTAAAATTAGCTGTTTTAAGTATAAAATAATAAAAAAAAAGGTTTAAAAGGCTATGGCAACCAACTAATTTGAATCAATTGCGGCATCAAACATATGATTTCCAAATTTGCGTAACCTTTTCTCCATCAATCTTGATTTAATGGTATATTTCCTATGAATCTTTTGTATAACCATGCCATTATAATATAATATGTGAGTCTCGAAGAAAATACGTGATCAGACCTCATGACCATATAAAATAGTAACCTTAAATATATAATAAATTTGTCCTTATATGAGCTTCGGCAGACAGTATATAATGACACTACAGATAAATGAATTTTTTGTACAATAAACGAAATATATTTGGTGATCATAAACACAGTGCTGATGGTAATTTCGAAGTGACGCTTGCAACAAAAGCAACAATTTACTCAGAAGGATTAGTCGAGTGGAAACCTCCAGCAATTTACAAATCGTCCTGTGAAATAGATGTAGAATATTTTCCTTTTGACGAACAAACATGTGTTCTCAAATTTGGCAGTTGGACATATGACGGGTTCAAGGTATGTTAATCAAATGTATTATATATTATAAGTCTTGAATAAATGTAACACAGTTTTGAATGCATTAATCACATTCCTATACTTACAAATATTTAGAATGTGCAGTTTTTTTAAATTTAATTTGTATTAAATTAAAAGATATATAGTGTACGTTAGTTACAGGTAAATACAAATTTAATTTAAATATTTTAATCAGTAATAGTAATCACAAGCTTGCTAGAAAAATAATAAAACTGAACAAAGATACGATAATAAAATGAAGCGAATAAATAGTATTAAGTTATAGAAACATGTGCAATGCGCGTGTTGAGTGTTCAAAACATCATACGTAGTATCGTTTTGGATAAAAATATGTAGTTTCTAAAGTCAATGTTTCTTATATTTTATTATTTGCTCTTATTATTTTAGCCCATATCTGCTGGTTAGAAGTATTTTAACTATCCTACCTTTGTTGATCTTTTGTCTGACGGAAAACCGACGAAATTATTTATTCTTGCTTATGACTATGGATGCATCACATGTCAATGATTAAAAATAGTTAATGTTACTTATATTGCTTAAATGACATTGTTTAACAAAATGTGAATTCACTATTGTTAAAACCACTACTTACGTGCCACTTTAAATACCGCGTATGCAAATTAAATTAGAATTGTATGTTTTTCCGTTTCGAAAATGTTCACAAAATTTGTTTATTTATGAATAATTATAAAAAGATTATCTTCCCGCAATCACTCCCTGGTCGCATACCAGTGGAGAGGTAATAAAAGAATATAAAAATTATCGATGATAAACACGAGCCAAGAAAATGAGGTTACTCGCGCACCAAAGGAAAGTTCGGTGTTTTTTAGTCGACAGACGCTGAGAGACGAGTCTGTCCGCTTCGAGGACAAATATTTTTGTACTGTGTGTTGTGTAGAGATCCTAGTCGGTGTGTGTGTGCGGCCGTATGATGAGTTGTGTGTGAAATTTTCTCAATACCTTCGAGTATTATCTGTGGTATGAGATCGCTGCCTAATAGAAGGTCTCTTTGAGCGGGAGTGTTGCAGTTGGGATCTGCTATGTAGTGGTACTCTACTTTGATTTTCGCTATGTAGCGTTGGGGCTTTTATTGCCTTTGAGCAGCATGGTGCTTTCGCACTTCGGGATTTGCTGTTGCAACTAAACCCGTGGCTCTTTTCATATTGCGCTGTTTGGGGGTGAGCTGGAAAAATTGTTATAATGAAGCATTGAATGATGTCGTTATAACAATAAACGCAATTAAATTTGCGTTCGCACTCTTTACGTGGATGCACATATGACAGGCAATTTGTACAAAGTCCTTTTTTTTACAAAATTGCTTCGATTGATAATATTCAATTTTTTGAATTTCTCGTAAGATTTTAGCTTATGTACTCCTGTACACAGTTCGCATGACGTTTGTTTGTACTGTTCAGATGTGAACGGTCGATTTCTGAAGAAGCTTCTATTTAGATTGTTGTTGCTACTGGCTTGGGGTCTGTGGAAGCTTCCATTTATTTTACTATTTCTGCGATTTCGTATTGGGTCATTAAAAAATCTTTCATCTGTTGCCACGCTGATTGCTCCCACAAAAGTAACGATTTTTCTGGTAAAGCGGCGGTGCATATATCTACCAGTATTGGGTCCCAGCTGTCTGTGGGAATATTTTGTGTCGATAAAACCGACAAGCAATTGGAAACAGTGGATTGCAGTTTTATAAACTCTTCACTTGTTTCCTTTTGAATCTTAGGTAAGTTCATTAGTATCGTTACTTGCTTATCGACCAATATTCTCTCATTTTCAAATCTAGATTTAAGAGCTTCCCAAGCCATGAAATATTTCTGTGTCACATGCGGGCACCTTGAGATGGATGCCTGAACTTGCCTCTTGACATTGTACTTGTGGCAGCTCTACTCTCGGATGTAGAGTAGGTGCAATTGCTTTTATTAACTTTAGTTGATCGGAAATCATTGCTTTAGTTTTTTCGAACTGGTCTAAGCAGTTTTCATATTTGGCGTAAGCCGAGGACTTAAAATTTTCTGGTAGATCTGATTCGTCAGATTCTACTATGGCGTCATATGAAGCTTGGAGACGTATCCAAAAATTGTCGAGATTTTCTTTTTTGATTTCTAATGCCGATTCAGAATTATCTTGAATCGGAGCAGATGAAAATCGAGTGCAGTATCTTATTAGACTGTCACTCTCAGCAATGAATTTACTGAATGTAATGTCTTTCCCCCTTTTTTGTTTTGTAGCACCTTGCTTTGAGCGTGTAGCTTCTGCAGGTGTACATGGACTTTTTTCGTCCGAAATCATTTTTGGTACTTTTAATAGTTGTGTAGATTTAGAATCTTCAGAATCTGCGTTCATTTAAAAAAGTTCAATTAATGAAATGGTTTCCCTCAGTGTAAACTAATTAAATTTAAGCGAAATTCGTAATTGTAATGCGTAATCTCTTTTATATAAATAAGAGAATTAGTAAATTATTTTCATTTTTTTATTTTTATTTTTAAATCGGATTAAATAAGATAGCGTGTTTCGTTGTTACGGTATTTATTTATTATATTTCTCGATTGTATTGTTTATTACAATAATTATTCAAAAATTGCAATATCTATTTTGTTATTTTCTTTTTGTGTTCGTATGCGTTATAGGATATACCCATAAGCGAATTAGTATGTGTCAATGAGAGCTCGTATAAGAGATCAATGTACTTTATACATATGTATGCAATCCTACTTGTTTTTTGTTTGCCAAACAACAAGGGTATTGCCGAGTATGTGCCAAATTGGACTTTAGAATTTATTAAATTAAATTGTATAGAAGCAATGTATATAATATTGTTCACAATATTTTGTTATTGTTATTTATTTATTTATAGAAATATAAATAATTATTTTTCTTTTCGTTTTTTGTTAAGAATTCGTTTTTTCTTTACCGAACCGTTTAAAATGTTTTTTTTTTGTTTCGAATGCGCTTTTTGAAGTTCTTTAACTTTTAGTGGTACCCTACTAGGGTATAATAATATGTGCCGTACTTGTAGAAGTACGTATGTAAACGAGCGGACGTTGTTTCTCAGTTAAGAAAGAGCGCATAAACGTAATTAGAAACAAAGTAATCGTATGTGCACTACGATTCGTAAATTTGCACTCTCGGTATATGAATGTAAATATGTACGTATGTATGAGAGTATATATTTGCTAGCGCTCAAAATTATGAGTTGCTAAAAATTTTGGTATGTGTTATGTGCAAAATATGTAAATATGTATGTAATGAGAGATTTGTATAGGTAAGAAATTCTTTAATTTTTTTTTTGGTTTTTTGACAATATTGTCCTTTCTATCTCTTTTTATTCGTTATATGTTGCTATGTGGGTATATGCATTAATTCGTGCGGTTTTCTAAGAGTGGGCTCTACTAGTATTATTTCGCTTCGTGTTCATCTGTGACTATATTCATTTCAAAGGTACTGTCATTTCGCGTCGTTTCAGTAGAAATCATTTGTTTTATCGTGAACAACAATTTGTTTCATTCATTTGAAAATTTCGAAATTTGTACCAGATAAAGTGTTTTTGCGGGGAGTTCGTCTTCATTACTTTAACATGAAGAAAAGTGCTACCGAAAGCCATCGTATTTTACTGAACGTTTATGGTGACCCTGCTTTAGCCGAACGAATGTGCCAAAAGTGGTTTGCACGGTTTAAAAGTGACAATTTCGACTTAGATGACGGAGAATGACCCGGACAGCCAACAAAATTTCAAGACGTAGAATTGGAGACATTGCTCGACGCATATGCACGCCAGACGCAAGAAGAACTTGCAAAAGTATTAGGTGTTGATCAAGCAACCGTTTCCAGGAGATTAAAATCATTAGGATTCATCCAGAAGCTTGAAAATTGGGTGCCTTATGAATTAAAGCCAAGAGACGTCGAACGTCGATTCTGCATGTCTTAAATGTTGCTTCAACGCCACCAAAAGAAGTAATTTTTGCATCGGATTGTCACTGGCGATGAAAAATGAATTCATTATGATAACCCAAAGCGCAAGAGATCGTATGTGAAGCCCGGCCAACCATCGAGATCCACGGCAAAGCCGAATATCCATGGTGCCAAGGTTATGCTACGTATTATATAGTATATAGATATGTATATTATATGTACTAATTTTTGCGGTAAAACCCGAAATACCGCAAATACAACAGTTTGGCAACCGTTTTTGAAAACCGTAATAAATATACTTACATATACCCTGCAGTAATGAGGTACAAAACGGAATCGATACAACTCACTTGAATATCCGTCAAGGGATTTTGGGGACTATAGCCTGTATTTCATGTTCTGTCCAAGCTATCTAAAGGTTTTTGATTATTATGATAAAGCAGATAAATTAAATGATGACCAGATAGCTAATGGTTTATATTTCGTTAGTCAAAAAACGATTGCATATGCTCACAATCCCTACTTAATGCTATTTATATAATACCGAGCGATAAATATAAAGGATTTTTTTAGTTTACATTATTTCTACCATTTATAAATAAAAATACCTTTCGCAGATTTAAAATGCGTATGGTTTATCTTTATAAAATATACGTACTTTAAAGACTAAGATATTTCTTCGTTTGTTGTAAATTAATTAATAGGTTGATTTTGTTAAAAGTGTGTTATAAATGCTCGTGTAGTTTCTTTTTACAATTCTTTAACAGCAAATCTTAGTCCTATAATAACTTATCACTCTAAAGAACTTTTCCGAAAATAACTATTTTATATTAATTATTTCATATTTGTTACAACCTTACAAAGATTTAGCAGGCTTGCTTTCAAATAAATTTCTTAGTGCAATAATTATCGCAACTATGCTTATCTGACTGAGAGTCGTTAAAAAATCTTTTATCAAAGATGTGCGGTTCAGGTGAAGTTCTCTCAAAGTACTAATACTTCATCTTTACTTGAAAGAATGTTGGTAATTTTTTTTATTGATACCAAATAGTGGGTCAAAGTGG